AATTATTAAAGATGTTAGCTAATAAAGTAATTATGAAAATGGTAGATCGTCCAAAATGGTGTAAAATTCAAGATGAATTTGAAGGAAAAGAAACAGAAGCATTTAAATATCATATTGCAGATTGGGATTATACAACTACAATTATTACTGATGATGATTATGAAAAACATATTAGTTTATTATCTAAACGTATTGATTATAACGCTCTTGTAATTAAAGAAATTAATGAAGCAAAGAAAGAATTTGAAAAAGCAAATGAAGAAGAAAAGAAAAAAGAAGATGAAGGACAAAAGAATGAAGAAAATAAAGAAGAAAATAATGCTTCTAAACGATTTAAAGAAAATATACAAAAAAAAATTCAATTGCTTGTTGGAAAAAAAGAGCCTATTATTTATGACTACAAATGGGATATTGATGGATATAAATTAAAAATTCAATCAATGATGGAAAAAAAATGGGAACCAACAGTATTAACTAAAGATACAATTGATTATGAATTAAAATATAATATTACAGAAACATTAAAATTAACTGATATACAAATTTACGCTTTTGTTGATATTGTTGGACCAAGTATTTTCAGAATTCCTGCTGAAAAATATGGAGAATTTTATGAAGAAAACTCATATATTGTTTCAGTAGAAAAATGGGATTTTGAGAGAGATATTTGGAGAAGAGATTTTTACTTTTGGGAAGGAAAAAAATCAACTCCATTATATTACTCACAATTCTTAAAGAAAAATTATCCTGTCCTTGTTGAATATTATGAAAAAAATAAAAACAGAAAAGAAAATGAAATGAATGCACGACAAGCATCTGAGAATCGTATTATCTTTAGTCAACAGAGAGTCTTTCAAGGTTGTGAACCTAAAATATTTGCAGAATTATTTAATTTAAGAATTGTAGTAAAAAAAGGTAATTATAAAGACACTGTTGTTATTCAAGAAGATAATACTAATTATGATGAAGATGAGAATGAAGAGGATTATGAATATGGTGATGAGGAAGATGAAGAAGTAGAATATTATGATGAAGATGGAAATTTAATTGAGCCAGGAGATGATGAAGAATGGGAATATGAAGAAGATGAAATAGAAGAAGAAAAACCAGAAGAAACAGAGGAAAACAATAAAGGTAATGAACCAAAAGAAGACAATGAAAGTAATGAAACAGAAAACGGAGAAAAAGAACAAGAGGTTGATAATGAAAAAGAAGAAGAAGAAAAAAAAGTGGTTGTTAATAGATTTTTTGAAATTAGTATGGAAGATAGAACACAACGTATTGAAGAATTAAATCTTGAAGATGAAAATGTTGGGAAATATATTGAAAGTCATAGATGTTATGCACTTCAAACATTATATTCTGTATATCTCTGGATAGGTAAACAAACAGATCAAATTTCTCGAATTCAAGCAATTAGAAGTGCTATAACATTATTAGAAGAAGACAGAGAATTTGTATGTTTTGAAGAAGGATTTCATTATAATGAATTTTGGGATATTCTTCATGGAGTTGAGAAAGGATATTTAAGTCTCTCACCAAAAGACCTTGGGTTGGCTGCTCCATTAACATTTGAAATAACACCATTTTCACAGAATTTTATTCGAATTGGAATGAATTGGAAACAAGCTGATCCATCATCATGTTATATATTTGATTGTATGACACGAATGTATGTATGGATGGGAGATGAAAGTATTCCCTTACAACAAAAATATGCTATTAAGGTTGCATATGATTATGCTGAAGAAAGAATGAAAGAAAGAAAAATAAACATTGAAATAATAACTGAGTATTGTGGTAAAGAAAGTGATCATTTTATTAGAATGTCTGGAGGAGAACGAATGGAATATTATGACTTACAAAATGATCCAAGAGAGGTTTATTATAATTTAAAGAAAGAGAGTTGGGTTGAACTACCTGAAGAAGAAAAAATAACAGAAGAAAACCAAGAACTTAAAATTGACTGGAGTAAAGTAAATGAAGATGACTTTAATAATAAAATGAAAGAAAGTAGGAATCAAGGAATTAAAGAATTACAAGAAAAAGAAAAATTGAAGGAAAAAGGAAATAAATTACTTCTAGATGAATGGAAAAGTAATAAAGAGTTAAATGATTTTATTAAAACATTTAAGGATGAAGATACAGATATAGAAAGTCTTCCTGACGAAGACAAAGAATGCAAAGAAGTCACTACTAAACAGTTGATGGAAGAAATCAAAAAAGAAGAAGATAAAGAAAAACAAGAAAGAGATGAGATTGATAAAATGATAGAAGAAGAATTAAAAGAAAAATATGGCGATAATATTGAATATGTTGAAGAAGATGATGGTAATGACGAAGAATGGGAAGATGGTGATTGGGAATATGAATATGAAGATGCTGGTGAATATGAAGAAGATGGTGATGACGAATACGAAAAAGAAGATGATGAGTATGAATATGAAGCAGAAGAAGAAGGAAATGAAGAAAGTGAAGAATATGAGAGTGGAGAGGAGGATGAAGACCAATTAGAATCTAAAAAGAATGCCACTGAATCAAAAGAAAAAACAATTGAAGACCTTAGGAAAGAAGAAAAGAAGAAAGAAGATTTAGAAAAGAAGCAAAGAAATAAAGCAGTGGACAAGAAGAACACCTACTTAAATGAAGTAGTTGCTTGTGACTACTGTTATGAAGAACACCCAAGATATTTATTAAGAAAGAACATTGTTGCAGATGATATGGAAAATGGTATCTGTTGGGAATGTTGGAAAATTTATTTCCCTGATGAAAAATGGCCTGATTTAGAACACGATAAATAAAATATTCATTTTCTTAAAATAGCTTATGTTTTTGTTTTAACTGAACGAAAGGAGAATATTTTGTTATAAGAAAATGAAAAAAATATAAGAAATTCTAAAAATGAAGAGATAAACTTGAAATAAAAAGAATTGAACGATGACTGAATTTAAGACTACATTTAATCTCTTTTCTAAAGTAAAACAGACATGTGGAAAAGGTGATAAAAGAATTGCTAAACCAAGAACAAGGGTTGAAACTTCATCTGAAACATCTGAACAAATTACAACCAATAAATCAGCAAGTGCAATGGCTAATTTACTAAAAACATTACCAGATTGGAGTGTGGCTACTCGTAAGATTATTGATACCACTAACATTGAAACTTTCCCAATAGCTGGTGATTTACCTCGTTTATTAAAACACTTAACTGTTTATGAAATTCATAATGGAGACTTTTACAGTGTTTTTCCAACTCAAGGAATTGTAACTGAACATATTGTTGATTATTCTGTATCAAGTGATGGAGCTGCAATTAATGCAGGTGATTGTTTAAAAATTTTACAAACTGTATGTATGATATTTGAATCTGATGAATTAGCACAACACTTAGGAAATGAATGGAATGCGATAATGGATAACTCTTGTGATCTTTCTGTTCAAAAAACTTTTTTAATGAGAATTTTAAAAAAAGTATTTATTGAAGAAAAAACTGATGGTGAAAGTCCCATTATAATGTTTCTAAAAGCAATTAATCAAAAAATTATAGGACCAGCAACAATGAGAGTTCGTTGTCAATGTGGTAGTTTGATTATTAAAGATGCCCGTTTGTTTTACTTATATTCAGTCTTTTTTCCTTTATCAGTCCAGAGAGAGTTATAAAAGAGGAAAGGATTATTTGATTTTTAAAATAAAGAATTAATTAAGTATAGAACCAATGGTTTGGGAAGTTGCAGTTATAATTATGGAAGATAAAACTATTATTTCACATTATAGAAGGCAAGAAACAAGTAGCAAAAAACCAGAAGAATACTTCAGATTTTTATGGGAATTAAGAATGGTTTTTAATCGTGATCTTACTCAATTGGAAAGTCTTGTAATGGGTGTTACAGAAATAGAATTTGATGATATTACATTAGATTCGGTTCGTGATAAGGTTAGTTCTGCATTAGAACCAATGAAATCACAAGATTGTTTTATTGGTAATATGGACGACTAGATATTGACTTATTCATAACACAAATTTATTTACTTTATTTGTTATATTTATATTTATTATAAAATATCTAACACTACTTTTATACATAAAAAATGGTTTAAACTATAATAAAAAGAAAACGATTTATTTTAATACTTTTTTGTCAATCCTATATATAAAACTAGATTATTCATTAAATTATAATCTTTCCATAGAAAAATAAAATTTGTATTATTTTTTTTTATTCTAATAATTATTTTGTAGATTTGATTTATTCTTTTTACATCTTAATTCATTGATATTATTTTGTTATATATATAAACCATTAACAAACTTCCTTGTACATTCAAAAATTCAAATAAAAAACTTTTTGTTCAGTACCTATTCTCTAAATAAATAAAATAGAATTTGTCATTATTATCAATAACTACTTCTTTAAAAAAAAAAGAAGAAAATGGTCCCGGCGGGGATCGAACCCGCGACCCTCGCATTTCTCATTTCTATAAGTACGATGCACTACCGACTGTGCTACGGGGCCTATGTATATATTTCTATTATTCTATTATAAATTAATATTAATATTATTTTTAGTGTTAATTTCAATAAGAAATAAAATAAAAGAAATGAACAAAAAGAACAAATAATACATTCACTCATTTAAAGTAACGTCCAATAGGTGTTGATGGCTCATCTTGAAATGTCATTAATCCCTAAATAATAAATGTTTGGACATTATTAATAATAAAAACAAGACGTTTGTAAGACAAACAGTGTTTTTTATTCTTTTTAATTCATCCTCTAATTCTAATACTTTCTCAGTTAGTTCTGTGATAGCCTCTTCAAGAGAATGGACATAATTTAAATCATAATCATTTACCTCATTCATCCCACTCTTCCATTTTTAAGTTTCTTTTCATAAAACAAACTTTTTTATTTTTTTACTTTTCATGAAGAAAAAATATCTCAAGTCATCAATTTAAAGTAATTCAAATCCATTCAATTTAAAAGACATTTTTTGTATTAATTATTTTTTACGAGACCCACCATTAGACTTTTGTTTCAAACCACTTTTACCAAATCTTTTTCTGATTTTACCACTAAACTGTTTTCTTGGAACTCTTTTCTTACCTCCTGTAATTCTATCTTCTTCTTTTTTCATTTGCTTTTTAGAGAAACTCTTCATTAAGAATGGTTTATTTCTTGCAAGAACTTTGGATGTCCTTCCAGTTCTATTTCTGTGGAACTTCTCATTTTCTGCTCTTGACTCTTTCAAGATTTTAATCCTTTCATCTCGACTTAACTTCTTTTTGACTGACGCCTCTAAAGACTCTGGTAGTACGTAAGTTGTGTCTCTTTCCATCTCTTCTTCTGATGAAGAAGAAATTCCTTCATCCTCTCTCTGTTTTCTTCGGATTTTTTCAAGCTGTTCTTGTGTTAAAAGTCCACCATCATATTGTGGAACATTGTCATCTTCTTCACTCATTTCATCTTCTTCATCTTCTTCTTTACCATTATCTTCTTTCTCGTCTTCTTCTTCGCTCATACCTTCTTCTTCTTGTTCATCTGAATCTGAACTATCACTACATTCTTCCCAAGATGATCCAAGTTCTAAATTATCATCAATTTCCTCATCAGAACTACATTCATCAGCATCACCATCATTTGGACTATCTTCTTCTTTGTTCATATCCTCTTCTTTATTGTTCATTTCTTCTTGAACACCATTATCATCTTCCTCTTCACTCATATTATCATCACTACTTTCTTTTTTCTCAAGTAACTCAGCTCCAATTGGGCCATCATATACTTTTTGTTCACCATATTGTAAAATGGTTTTGTGTTGTTGGTCAGGTCTTCCTCGATCCTTTTTAGATAAAAGCTCTGGATTAATTCCTCTGTACAATGAAATGAGAGAACGAGCAGCACTAACAACAGCTTTGTTGTGACTCTTTTTATACATTGTTAAATCTTTCAACATTGACTGATTCATTACTAATGGACATCTCTCACAAATTGTTCTTACAGTGTTTAAACCAAGTGCCTGAGCTTCAACTCTACTTCTATCCGATACAAAATTATTTAAAATAGTTCGTACAATTGGTTCTACTGCATCTGGTGGTACTAATGGGTGAATAGCTTGAGCAGTATAAGCTAATAATTGAGTGATATTTTCATGTCGTACATATAAATATCTAACAATAAATGAATAAAATGGAAGACAAATAACTTCTCTACGAGCAATAACACGTGACAATAAATCTAATTCCATTAATCTTACTGCAAATCTATTTCTTGATCCTTTAATATCTCTAAATAACTTATCACAAAATGCTATTGGGTCATAAATATTATCAATTGCTGCCCAATTTGCTTGATGTGCAATAACTTCTGTCTTTCTAAGTTTGTCAACGGTGTCTTCAGCTTCTTTTTTCATTGCTCTTAATTTTCCTGTTCTCTTTTTGATTCCCATTTTTTTCTTTAATAATCTCAATTCTTCTTCTGCTTGTTTTAATTCTTCTTTTGTTTCATCATCCATTGCTGCTTGTTTTTCATCTAAACGAAGGAAAAATTCCATTGCTTTAACCTTAACTTTAGCGTCATTGTGGAAAATAGCATTTGCAAGAATATTAATCACACGAGGCTCCTTTAAAATTTTCCTTGTAAACAATTCTCCTAAAATTTCAACTACTTTCTTTACAACTTTTATATTAGTATTGGAATCAATTATTTGCTCCAATAATCTCATTGTTGATTGTTTACTCTTTGCTCCTCCTTTTTGTTGAGAAGTATGTTTAATGTCATTTATAATAAATCTATAAACTATTGCTGTAACGTTTTTATCTTTAATACATAACATTTCTAATAACGTAGGCAAAATTTCTTCAAGTGACATAAACCCTTTACTTCTCAATCCAATTAATGCTTTTGTGATAGTAACTTTTGACTGTGAATTTAATTTACATTTTTTAATCATTTCTATTAATTCTCTTGGAAAATTTTCAAGATATTTCTTGTACTCTGCACTGATGTTATTTAAGAAAACAACTAATCTCAATGTCTCATCAAGTGCAGTGTCTGGAACACTCATCCCAAGCTCTGCTTGTGCGAGCATAGTTGTAACACTTGACTTGAAGTGACTGTAATACCTTTTAAAATCGTCTTCATAGGCTGGTGGATCCATTTTCATTTTATGTTGAATCAATGTATAATCGGTCATAATTCTTGCACAGTAAATTTGAAGTTTGATATTGTTTTTTTCAAAAGAAAAAAAGGGTTTAAAAAAATACAAAATAATAATAACAAAATTCTTTTATCATTTTACAATAATCTTTCTCCATTCTGTTCATTCTTAGTACTTAATTTCTTTTGTTTGTTTTATACTTTAAAAAATGTTGTAAATCCTTATTTTATGGTTATTTCATCTTAGCCTTTTATTTCTTTTTATTTTCAATAACAACTCTTTATTCATTTCAATTTTCCTCTTAATATCATTGTACCTTTTTTTTCTGTATTGATGTTTGCAACTATCAAAATAATTTGTGATTTAATTTTTTGATATAATCTTTTTATCACTGGTTGTAACTGACACTTATATTCATAATCTCTGTTTAGTGAAGTTTTACTTGTCATTTTATTTATTGGCTCTAAAATTTCAGTTATCGTTTAATTGGTATATGAGTAAGGACAATTATGCTTATTGTAGTTTCCATTATCATCATTTCATTAACCATTTCAACAATGAATGAATTGATCAATAAATGAGAATGCACTTACACATTATACTTCAAATATTTCCTACTCTCACACTTTACACACACCTTAATCTTTCAAAAAAATATAACATTTATTATAAAACAACAATATATAAAAAACAAAATCAATACTTAAACCAAAAAAGTTAATTTAATTTTCTCTTGGATGTCTAATTTGGGCTTGAGCAGCAGCAATTCTAGCAACTGGAATTCTGTATGAAGAACATGAAACATAGTTCAATCCAATCATGTGGCACCATTCAATTGATGATGGTTCTCCTCCGTGTTCTCCACAAATACCAACAAGTAATTCTGGTCTTGTTTGTCTTCCTTTAGTAACAGCAATTCTCATAACTTCTCCAACACCTGGTCTATCAAGAATTTCAAATGGATTAGCTGGAAGAATCTTAAGTTCAACATATTTTGGAATGAATTTGTTTTCTGAATCTTCACGTGAGTATGAGAATGTTCCTTGTGTAAGATCATTAGTTCCGAATGAGAAGAATGAAGCTTCTGTAGCAATCTTATCAGCTGTTAATGCTGCTCTAACACATTCAACCATAGTACCATACATGAATGGTACTTTAATACCATATTTCTTTTCAACTTCTTCATGAACTGGTTCAAGAACATTCTTTCTTAAGTTAATAAGTTCATTAACTTCTGTAACATTTGGAATCATAATTTCTGCATGAGTCTTAATTCCTTCCTTAATAACTTCAGCAGTAGCTTCTAAGAATGCTCTAATTTGCATTTCATAAATTTCTGGATTAGTAGTTCCAAGTCTAATTCCTCTGTGTCCAATCATTGGATTAACTTCCATAAGTTCTTTAACTTTCTTAAGAACAACTTCTTTTTCTGCAAGTCCTTCAGTCTTACCTGAAAGTTTCATTTCAAAGATTTCTCTCATTAACTCTTCAAGAGTTGGGAGGAATTCATGTAATGGTGGATCAAGAAGTCTGACAGTGACTGGAAGTCCATTCATAGTCTTCAATAATCCAATGAAATCTTGTTTTTGAAGTGGCATAAGTTCATTAAGATATTTCTTTCTTTCTTCAAGGGTATTTGAAAGAATCATCTTGACAACAATTGGAAGTCTTTCAACTGCATTGAACATACGTTCAGTTCTGCAAAGTCCAATACCTTCAGCTCCAAATTCAAGGGCTTTCTTAGCAGCTGATGGAAGATCTGCATTGGCAAAAACTCCAATCTTTTTAATTTCATTGGCCCATTTTAAGATGGTTCCGAAATATCCTGATCCAACTTGTGGTTCTTCTAATGGAACTTCTCCCTTATAGACACATCCAGTTGATCCATCAATAGTTAAAATATCTCCTTCATGAACTTCAAGGCTTCCAATCTTAGCAATTTTCTTAGCAACATCAACTTTAATTCCTTCAGCTCCTGAAACACATGGTTTACCCATACCTCTAGCAACGACAGCTGCGTGTGATGTTTTTCCTCCTCTGCAGGTTAAAATACCTTCAGCAACAAAGAATCCATGAATATCTTCTGGTTTAGTTTCTTCTCTAAGAAGAAGAACTTTCTTTCCTTTAGCTTGTTCAACTGCATCATCGGCATCAAAAACAACAGCTCCTGTAGCAGCTCCTGGTGATGCTGGAAGTCCTTTAACTAATGGAGCTTCTGCATAATTAGCTGGCATATTCTTATGAAGTAATTGATCAACTGATTGTGGTGCAATTCTCATAATGGCTTGTTCTTTTGTAATAAGTCCTTCTTCAACCATATCAACTCCTGTTCTGACAGTAGCAGTTGCATTCATCTTTCCATTTCTAGTTTGGAGCATGTAAAGTTTCTTTCTTTCAATAGTGAATTCAAAGTCTTGTACTTCATGGAAATATCCTTCTAATTTCTTTCTAATATCAAGAAGTTGTTCATAGCAACCTGGAAGATCTGCATCTTCTGCCATCTTTGAAATAATTTGTGGTGTTCTAATACCAGCAACAACATCTTCTCCTTGTGCATTCTTAAGATATTCTCCGAAGAACATATTTTCTCCTGTTCCTGGATCTCTAGTGAAACAAACACCAGTAGCTGAATCATTACCCATATTACCATAAACCATAGAAACAACTGAAACAGCAGTTCCATCAGCTTGTTCTGGAGTAATCTTGAATTCTCTTCTGTAATCAACAGCTCTCTTTCCCATCCATGATCTGAATACAGCACAAATGGCAAATTCTAATTGAGCATATGGATCAACTGGGAATGGTTGTTTAGTGAATTCTTCAGTCTTTTTAATGAAGACTTGTGCAAGTTCTTTCATATCATTAGCATCTAATTCAGTATCTAATTTAACTCCCTTTTCAACTTTTTTGTTTTCAAGAGTCTTATCATAAACTTCATCATCAACATTAAGAGCAATCTTTCCGAAGAGGGAAACAAATCTTCTGTATGAATCATATGCAAATCTTTCATTGTTGGTTAATTTAGCAAGAGCAACAACAGTTTTATCATTAAGTCCAAGATTAAGAATAGTATCCATCATACCTGGCATAGACATAGCAGCTCCTGATCTGACTGAAACAAGAAGTGGATTTTCTTCTCCTCCAAAGACTTTTCCTGATTTCTTTTCAACTAATTGCATATTCTTTTTAACTTCTTCCATTAATCCTTCTGGCATTTTGTTTCCATTAGCAATGAATTGTTTACACATTTCAGTTGTAATAACAAATCCTTGTGGAACTGGAAGTCCAATTTTTGTCATTGTGCAAAGTCCAGCTCCCTTTCCTCCAAGGAGTTTCTTGTTGGTTCCATCACCATCTTCGAAAGCATATACTCTTTGCATTATTATCTGAATGAACTCTAAATTCTTACAAATTCCTTAAATAGTTCATAGGGTTTTTTTTTCCACATGGCAATGACGTTTTTTTTACTTATTTTAAATTGTTATTTTAATTTTTAAAATTTTAAAATTTAAATAACATTTTTTTGAATTAAAAATTAATTATTCAAGATTTTCCAAACGTTGTAACGAAGAAAAACTTAGACGTTGAATTTTTGGTGAAATAGAATATGGATAATCAGAATTTATTAAAAACTGTTTACTTGGATGTTCGTCCATTTCAAAGACAATATGATTTCCTTCAGTTAATGTTTTATATGTAAAATATAATTTATGATAACGAACACCATTAATATAAATTCTTTTAACAAATTTTGAGCCATTTGTAATATTTTTTTCTATTATTGTTGTCTTTCCATTTACTTCAAACTCTAACTTTTCAAAGAAAGGAACTCCAATAACAAATTGATCAGTTCCTGGTGTAACACTATAAAATCCCATTACACTTAAGATATACCATGCAGACATTTGACCATTATCTTCATCTCCACAATATCCATTTTCAGTTGATGAATATAAAGAATGAATAATGTCTTGAAGTAAAGGTTCAGCTTGTTCACCATACCCCAAAGATTTATAAAGATATATTAAATGTTGAATTGGTTCATTTCCATGAGCATATTGTCCTTTATTAATTTCAACCATTTCAGTCATTTCATGTATTGTTTGTCTATATATTCCAGTATAGAAATTATTTGATTCAGTAAATACATCATCAATACTATTTACTAATTGTTTTTTACCACCAAAAAGATTAGCTAATCCTTCAATATCTTGAACTACACTAAATCTATAATGAATGGCATTACCTTCAATATAAGGATCTCCCCATCGTTTATATTCAATAGGTTCAAATTCACCAAATTTATTTTTACTTTCAAAGAATTTAGTTTTTCCATTAAATAAATAAATATAATTCATTGCTTTAGATAAATAAATATCTTCTATCGTTTTATTTCCTATATATTTTGCAATTTGTGAAATACAAAAATCATTATGACAATAATCTAATGTCTTTGATACTGATTCAAATACTTCTGATTCTACAAATCCAAAGTTATTATAATTTTTTACTCCATCTCTTCCTATTGCTGTATTAAAATTAACTTGTTTTTGGTCATCAATAAGACCATTTAAAACCATTTGTATTTCTGTTTTATTTAAAGAACTAATACCTTTAACAATTCCATCTGCAATAGCACAATTTATATGATTTCCTACCATAATATCTATATGATATGGAGAAATCCATTGGGGAAAATTACCACTTTGTTTATAAATATCATAACTGGATTTAATTATTTGGTCAACAATAGATGGTGCAATAAGAGTAAGTAAAGGAATTTGTGCACGAGATATATCCCAATATCCTACATCAGTAAACATTTCTCCTTTATATATTTTACCATCAAAAGGAGATTTATAATAACCGTTTTCAGTAATATTATGAGGGAATAATAATGATCTATAAAGAATTGAATAGAATGTCTTTTTGTCAGCTTTAACAGAAGAATTAGAATCAGGTATATTAAATTTATTAAAATATTTATCCCATTCTTCTTCATTTCTTTGTATTTCTTTACTAAATGTAGTAGAATCTAAAGCATGAGAATAAGAATATTCATTTGATATAAAACTTGTTCCAATCTTAATTTCTGTTGTTGTATTTAATTTAATATAACATTGAAGATATTTACCACTTTGAACTAACACATTATTCTCTTTACATTCAAAGTAAGAAATAGGTTGACTTGTTAATAAAGTAACATATAATGGGAAATGAGAAGGTGCATTTCCATTTTGAATTATTCCATCAATTCTATTTAATGAAATTTGATTAAATCGATTAATTCCATTCAATGTTTTAAAATGAAGGTAAAAAACATTTTTACTTTCAATTTTTATCATTGAAAAATGTTGACGTGAAGTAACACCAATAGTCATACTATCAAGTGAAAATGATAAAAATGATGGCTTTTTTTCAATAAAATTAATATAACCATTAGTAGGTTCTTCTATTTCAGTTGGAAGTAAAAGTAAAAAGTCATAATCTCTTATCCATGGAGATGGTTGATGTGTAAGCCTTAAACCATAAAATAAATCTTTATTTTGCCAATGAAAAATCCAAGGTTCACTAAGGTCAACATTTTGAATTGTTATGTAATGACTTGAAAATGGGGTTCCAATTGATGGATAAACATTTCCTTTACTTAAATGATATCTATTATTTGTTCCAATAAATATGTTAACATAGTCTTCTTTTAATCCATAACATAATTGAATACTAAATAAGATAAGTGATAATATCAAATCCATTTTTTAACATCTATTTTTGAGTTTCATTTAAATTAAAAAAAAATAGAAAAAAAAACTATTATTTAATAGAATTAAAGTTTTTGATAATAATTTTGACTATCATATTGAGTTGTGAATAATAATAAATAAAAACTTTTTAAACTTTTATTCCAAACTGTTTTGTAAATAATTATATTAGTATTTTACTTGTCATTACATATTTCAAATTTTTATTAAAAATATATAGTTAATTCTTTCATTTTTAATCTTAGTAATTTTATTTTTAATTTTAACAATAAATTCTTAGAATAGAATTGACTTCTTTCATTATTCTTTCATTATTCTTTTTATATAGATTATTTTTAACAATTTTCTTTTTTTTATGTTAAAATCTAATACTGAAAATATTGATATAATTCTTTTATCTACTCTAATACAATGATTTCATTTTATTAAGTGTAGTCTTATTTTTCTGTTAAATATAATAATATAAAACAAAAAAAAAACAATTATTAATCATTACCAAACAATCTCCATAATGGATTCTTTACAAGAACATCTATCTGTCTTTCTTTTTCTTGAAAATGTTTATCTGGTTCAGTCAAATGAAAGAATGATGGGACGTGAAAGAAAAGGTCACACCCAGCCAAAAACATACAATTTAGAATAAAATTCATTAGTTCCAATAGTGTAGTAACATCTTCTTTATGAAGTGAATTGTTTGTGCTTCTTACATAACACTCAGTTACAAAAAGAACACAAACCTTCCTTTGTCACAGAATGGATGAGGGATATAATAAGTAAATAATTCATCAAATACAGCATGTCTCATATGCATAATACAATCTCTAAATGTTGTAAAGAAAGAAGGATCACATATTTCAAAGGCATTAACTATTTTTGAAGACACTCGTTCTTTAATTAATCCTCCTGCATAAAAATCAAGAACTTTATGATATTTAGTAAAACAACTTTCAAAACACAATGGTAATAAATTCTTTTGTTTTACATACGTCATAAGTCTATGGTACCTTGAAGATTGTATCATTTATAATTAAAGAAAAAAAAGTTAGATAATAAGTATTGAAAACAGAATTTTGAGTTATAACGTTCTATAAATAAATTCATTATATCTTTATCAGTAAAAGTTTATTGTTTATTCATTATATATAAAAAATAATATTTTTAACTTCTTTATTTTAGATTAATATTTGGTTTATGCTTTTTTGATAGTATTTGTTCAATAACATTATCTAATTATTTATCTTTCCTAAAATAAAATGAAGTTATATGGTTGAGCTAAAATTTTAAAGTTGTACCTTTTTTCTTTTGACTGTTTTGAAGAAAATTAAAACCAATAATATAATCGAGTAAATAAATAACCTTTAAAATATTATTAGATTGACAAACTTGTTAAAGTTTAGAAAATATATTTTGGTGAGTAGAAATATTATATAGATACTCCATTATTAAAGTAAATGAAACAAATCTTTATAAATTTTATTTGTAAGACAGATATTTCAAAACACATATTGTTAATAAAATATGTTTTATTATGAAAAACGTTTACAATATTACTTATAGACAAAAAAATATTTAACTATATTATCTTAGTACGAATACATTTTCATTTTAACACACAAATATTGAATAAAAATTTAAAGAATATTAATCATATTATCACATATATTTTATCATTATAATAGTATAACATAATACTAACTAATTCCTTTAAATAAAAATTCATATATTCAATAAAATATATTGAAAATAAATTATAATTATAAAAAGAACAAATAAATTAAACAGAGATAAATATAAAAATCAAAGTATTTAAAAAACTAAATAAATTTTTATAAACAAAATTAAACAAATAAATTCAATTTTATTCATTGTCATCTTCAGAACTGTCATCAGATAATATAATCTCATCATCACTATCTGATTCAATTGGTGGTCGTTCTAATCTCTTCTTTAAATGTAAGTCATACATCTCCTGCCTCATTTTAACAATATCAAAGTTATTAACTTGAGTATAATGTTCTGCTTCTTCAACAATTTTTTTGATAACTTCAAATGGTGTTGACTTTTTGTCTAATCGAAGTAATTCAAATATAACATTAACAGCATTAGTATTAAGAAGCATATCTCCCTGTACATCAATCACACTACAAATCAATTGAATAAGAAACTTTCTTCCACCTCTAATAAATTTATCCATTACATCAAATTGTAAACAAAAAGGAAAAACGTGAATACCAATTGCTGTGAAAAATTTTTGACAAAACGTTTCTGGAAATGGTTGAATTTGAAGAATTTTTTGTGTAGCAGATGGATTAATTGTTTTAGAGACTTCCATTGCGGTATATGCATCAGAAGCATATCCAGTAGCTTGTGCTTTCCAATATCCAGGAATATAAAATTCACTTTTATTAATAACATGAAGCATTTTATAAACTTTATTTTCACTTAATGTTAATCTAAGGAAAGCAGCAACTAAACACATTGGTTGAGCATAATCTCCAAAATCTTTCCAACATTTTGTTAATAATTTAATTAAAGGGTTTTGATAAACTGGGGACTTTAATGTTCTAAAAACATCTAAATAAATAATTCTTGATATACCTTCAGGAACATTCTCAATATCTTCTATAACATAATCAGGAATTGGTTCTTCTGCATGTGACATAACAATTTCATACCATTCATTTGCTTTTTCAATAAGTTCAGCGTTTTGTTTAATACTGTTTTTTAAATATCCATCGTTATGTAATAATAATGAATCTTCTTCTTCTAATTTCCAAAAGTCTGGTTGTGTTAACATTAAATATAATTTTTAGATAATTTCTTGTTTAGTTTTTTTAAAGGGTTTTAAATAGTAAATATTTCATTGTTATTTATTATTTTTATTGTTTCAAAATTTTTTTATAATCTATTTCTTAATTCCTTTTGATAATTTTTCTTGTTATTTTGTAATAACACAAAATTATTTTTATTTCAATTTAATTATCATTTTAATAGAATAGTCATATATTCTTTCAGTTATTACTTAGATACATCTCTTCAGTTACATATATTCTTTGATTATATAGTCATCAATTTCACTCAGTTAAATAACTTAATTTTTTATAACAATAATAAGAGATATTTTCTTTTTTATACTATTTGATTATTCAATCAATTTTGTCTTTGTTAAAAAATAATATTTCTTTGTTTTTATTTTATTATTATTAACTATGCCATGTATAAATGTTATTCATAAATTATATAAATTCAAGTTATAATTGAAATAAATACACTCTGAAAAATAGCTTCTTGACAATACCCTTTGTTTGTATGAGATTATATATAACGGTATAAAAGAATTTATTAAGATAAACAAAAAGTAATGTAAGTTTCCATTAGCCACTAAATATCCAGAAGGATAATATTAACAACGTTAACATAAAAAAGTAAGTAGTTGAATGACACATTCAGTACTTATCTTTTTTGTTTAAACATATTTAAAATTTCTTATTAAAAACAATCAAGAACATTGAATGTGTTTGAATTTACTGATAAAACACAAAATAGTGATTATTAATTAAAAAAAACATAAATTAAAGATAGATACCAATAACTATAAACATTCCTACAAAAAACAATGTTATAGCACCAATTAAACAACAAAATCCATATCTAATTAAAAGAATTTTTCTTTTATCCTTTTCATCTTTCCAAAGGGGTATTTTTGTTTCACTGATATATTCAGGTGGAATAGGACTCATTTCTATTTCAATGGTTCCATCTTTTATCTTCTTTCCTTCATCAACTAATTTTCTTGTTAATGACTCTTTCTCTGAGAGAATATTTTCAGTAGACTGTTTCTCTTGGTCTCTATAAGAACATCCTTCTTGAGAAGAGCTTGTTGAATCTTCTGTTGGTGTTTCTGTTCGACTTGTTGTTGGTAGACTCTCTTGTGACATTTGTGTTGTTTATTTTTCAAGTTCTGTTCTTAAAGACCTTTCCACCTTTGTTTTGAGAAGAGAAACGTCATTGTTAAACTTCAAAGAAAATTCTTCAAACTATGAAAGAAGCTTATTCGATATTTTTTTTTGAAGGAAAATATAAATAGCTTTGTATAACTTAATTTTTAGTATAATAACATTTTCATTAACCTCAATATTAACTAATTGACAAATTTTAATTATTTAATCAGAGTCAGTGTTAAAACTAAATCATTTCTTTTATTCAACAAAAACTTTTTTTTTAGAAAAAATTTGGTTAATTTTCATTTATACTCATGCAAATACTATTTTTGTCTTGAAACTTTATTTTTTACATTTTTATTGAAAAAGCATTATATATTTATTAAAAAATTAAATAATTTAAGTGAAGTAAAAATAACCCCTCAACAATAAGAAGTGTTTCATGAAGAATTAAATAATCGCTTGTAGTACACAAAAATAATGAATAAGAAAGGAATGTTTTTTATAAAAACAATGAAATACTTTTCAAATGAACAAATAAACGAATCAAATAAAAACAAAAAAATAATATAATTTTATTATAATTATTAAATTTTATATTATAAAACAAAGTAAAAAATTAACAAGAAGTTTTAAAACACAATAATTATTTCTTTGCTTTTTTAAAGTCTTGAATGTGAGTTATATGATTTTTAGTTAATGGTTTCTTTTTATAAATTGATTTGAGAATTGACTCAGTTGGAAGATGGCTTTGTTGAATAACACTTAAAATGGCAGGAATGCTATGATGGAATTGACGTTCATAATATAATTTTGCATCCCTAAAATCAAGAGTATTATCAGATCGATGTCTGGCATATACCATCATTTCTTCTGCACTTTCAATTACATACTCTTCGACTAAGTCTTGAAGAAAGCTTATAACTTCTTGATCAGGAGCTAATCGTGCATCAAGCATTTTCATAAGTTGAATAATGTTATCACGAGGAACTAATTCTCCTTGAGTTCTTGCTTTTATGGGTTTTGCAATTTGTCTATAAACTGATGTTGTTGTTCGATTATCCATTTATAAAATATAACTTTGGAATTTTTTATTTTTTGTTTTTGTTATTTTAAAAAGATTTCTATTCTCTGCAAATAATATAAATATGTTTATTATCATTATTCATAAATATCATCTTTACTTCTCTTACTGAAAAGAAAAAAAATACATTAATGTTCAAACAAATATTGGAGAATAAACAAATATCAATAAAAGGTATAATATGAATGATGAAAGAGAAAGAATAAAAACGTAATTAAAAAGAAACAAAACATGAAAATGAAGAAGAAAAAGAAAAAGATGAGTAAATTCATGACAATAAAAAAACTGCCAATAAGAAAATAGAATATTAAAAACAATGATTTAAGTTACATTAAAGAGTAACAAGTGAACAGAGAAATGAGAGTATGAAGAAATACAAAATAAGTGAAGAGAACGATGGTATAGAACAAGTAATATTCAGTCCAAGATAAAAGAAATAGAGAAACAGAAAATACAGTGACAATAAATACATAACAACGATAAGAAGAAAGAATAATAAAATGAAGAAAATACATGAATAAAAAATAGACAAACAAAGAAGAAATAAACATAAAGCAACAATAAATAATAAATAGAATAACAAATGAAGATGATATGATTCTCTAAATATGATATAATAAAATGTTAATAAGAAAATAAGAAAAGAATGAAGAAAAAGTACAATAAAAGATGAGACAATACAATGATAGAATAGTCATATGAATAACTTCAATAAACATTATAAATAATACAAAAAACATTAGATTAATTAAAACTTAAAAAGAAATTAATAAAATAAAAGAAAACAAGTAATTTTCATTCAAAACATGATGAAAATCATTGAACATTGATTCTATCATAATTTAACATAATCAATTGAAATAGTTGATGACAATGAATGGATTGACTTTTATAGTTGAACGAACATCAAATGATCATTTTGTTAGCATATAATTAATCATGTTTATAATGATTTGAATATTTAAGAATATACATTTATCAAATTGCATATATTCTATCATCAATATTAATGTTTGTTATTATAATTTATAACTCTTCATTACCATTTTATTTCACTTATTCCCACTATTAATTTATTTTCTATTTTAGAAATGATAATGGTAGAGTAAATTATACTAAGTCATGAATGACAATCAATAACAAGATTAAAATACTGAATGATTGTTATATTAAGTATGAAAATAATATTTTCACTGGATAAGTTTCAAAGACAAGAAAATTTATAAAAATGAAAGAAATATTACTAAATATGGAATGCTTTTGATTAAATTTTATTAATTTCGTTTTCATACTTCTATCATACTTGATTATTATGACTTATTTCAAAATAAAAACACTATTTAATTCTTTATTGAATTTACATCATTCTCAATTAATTAATAAAAATATTTTTAATGAGTAAATTGATTATAAAACATTAGAAGTATTTTTCATTATAAAATGATTGACAACATTATTTTGTTGAAAAAAATAATCAATAGAATGATAAAATGAAGAAAGAAAATCAATTAAAAGAACAAAATTCCAATGAAAAATGGAAGAATAAACAATATATGTGATGTGCCATTAAGATTATTATTATCATTAGATGTGTCATTTTCTTTCTCATCAGATTTACTTTCTGTTATATCTTCTTTTTCTTTATTTCCATCACCTTCTTGTTTCTTTTCTTCATCCCCTTGTTTGTCATTTTGATTATCCTTTTCTTTACCGTTTTTTGTATCATCTGTTATTTTTTCTTTTTCTTCTTTTTCTGCTTTCTCTTTTTCTGCTTTCTCTTTTTCTGCTTTCTCTTTTTCTGCTTTCTCTTTTTCTGCTTTCTCTTTTTCACTATCTTCTTTGCTCTTCTCATCTTCTACTTCTTTCTTCTCTTTAGTACTATCCTCTTTTGATTTCTCTTCATTGTTATTCTTTCCTTCTTTTTGTTCTTCTTCTTGTTCTTTCTTTTCCTCACTTTCTTGTTCTTTCGTCTTTTCTTTGTCACTTCCTTCTTCTTTGTTCTTCTGTGTTGGCTCTTCTCCTCCTGAGACTTGTGACTTTTCTTCTTTATCATGTTGTGCTCCTTCACCTTTTTCTTTTTGGTTGTCATTATGCTCTTTTGTACCTTCTTGACTTTGACCTTTCTCCCCTTCAGTCACTACACCATCTTTACTTTCTTCTACATTCTCTTTCTTCTTTTCATCACTTCTTTCTTCTGTTGTTCCTTTAGACACTTCTTCACTAACTTCGCATTTAATGTGCTTTTTGTACTTCTTGTACATTCTTTTATGAATATTTGAATCGATTTGCATGTGTACTACGTCTTTATCTCCTTGTTCTCTATTTGTAATACAATCTGTTGCACTAGTAAATGCAATAAGCAGTATAAATCCAATCATTGAATATTTTCCATCACAGTTCTTCTCTTTAAATACACTCTCTTCGTTATTTTCTTTCAATCATTGTATTTTCACCTCATTGTACTGTGTTTTAACAACAATCTCATATACTATGAACAAATCAATTCAATGTCCATTTTACTTTCTTATCTGTTTTTTTGAATCAACAATAAATAGAATGAAATGAAATATTAAATTAACACTCACTGCATATCCAATATTCACACAATAAAAATAATAAAACGGAATAAATATCAAATCATAACAATAACAATAAATCTTAAAGCATAAATTGTTATGAAATGAAGAATAAATTTCTATTCATAATTCAAATCATTGTCATAATAAAATTATATTCATTGTTATTTATCTACATCATTGTATTGTTTCTACAGTGTCAATAATCTGTTTATTAACATTAACATGTTCTCATTCTGCTTTTGATATCTACAACATCTAATTTATAAAAATATCATCATATTGATTATTATAAACAACTCTCAATAGAGTTATTCGTACATAGAATTTAAGTGGTTGGTTGTTTACTATTTCATTTATTGTTATTTCTGCACTTTCCTGCTATACTTAATCGAATATTACTCAAAATAATGAACATTTCATTCATTCTCATTTCATTATTTTATTCATAGTCTTATTCCATCAAAATAACAACTCTATTCAGAGTATTTCAAACTTAAATACTATTCATTGTTCAATGTGAATAAACAATGAAAGAGAATATCCTCTTCTTAAATGAGTAGAATAATAACCAAATGAAGAAGTTTAATGATATAATACCTCGAATATCATATTTAATGTATTTCATCAATAAGATGACTGAATATTGTTAATTATATAAACACAATCAAAACATACAAACTTTCAACTCAAGTCATAAATAAACAAATAATTTGATTATGAAATTGAAATAGTGATGAATAATGATTTGGTAATGAGTCATAATAATATTTACTATTGAGTTGTTGAAAGAAATAAAGAAAGAAAAAAAAAATAAAAATGAAAGTGTTTAATGATGGTTATAATAATATCTATTCAATTGCTAAATAGAATCACATGAATATTCAAAAATCTTTAACCCTTTCTTCTTTTAGAATTAATCAAAGGATGTTGTATGTAATAAATGACTAATTAAGACAATAGATAAAAGAAACAAAAAAGAAAAAGATAAAGAAAGAAAAAAGAAAGTAATGTAAGTAATAAATAAGTGTTAAATAAACATATTCATACAAAATCATTCTACTTTTATATTAAAAAATATGTCAATGATTAAATATTAACAAAATAAAACAACAAATAAATACAAAATGAAATAAACACAGCGTTTGATTTGCTTTTCTTTATTTTCTTTTCAATTATATTCTTGTCAGCTTTAGTCTTATCTTAAATTCCCTCGACTATTTCCTCTATACCCTCCTCTCATGCCTCGTGTTCCACGTAAAACTGTTATGAATGTTTTAATTAATTTAGTGGTTGGATCATTTCTTTTGTTATAATCCTTGATGTTAGTACGTTTAACTGCAACACTAATTTCATTCTCCCCTAATTTCGTACCATTTAAATTAGTAACAGCTCGTTCTCGTGCTTCAACTGAATCTAATTCAATATATGCATATCGTTTAGACACTCCACTTTTTGTTAATGGAAGTGTAACTAAAAGAACATTCCCAACAGTGGAAAAAAGTTGTTGAAGTTGTTCTTTAGTGGCATTTGGATCAAGATTAGTAACACAAACTGATCGGTTATCACGCTCTCGTTGTTCTTCCGTTGGTTGTGGGTATCTTCCATTAAACTTCGCAACAGTTTTTGGTGCATTTATTTTGGGTGCTTTTTCTGTGGATGTATCATCCATAGTCATTGCATTTGGGTTATTCCCATTAACATCTGTTCCGACAAATTTTAGTCGTTGTTCCATGCTTCTTTTCTTCTTCTTCCTTTTTTCTTCTTTTTTTTCTTCTTTTTTTACTTATTATAATCTTTTTATATTTTTACTATTTCTTTATTTCTATTTCTTCTCATCATTTATCCCTGTAGTATCGGGGGTTTTCCCTCTTCTTTCCTCTATTTATTTTTACATCACTTTAAACACAAATTCAATAACAAAAAAAAAATCCAAAGTGATTTATCACGAGCAAGGATTGTTTTTGATGTGATTGGTATGAAGCATGAGTGAATAAAATAGGTTTTGGTGTGTGAAGATTGATAAGAAGACTACAAAATTCACAATGGAAAAAAATGAATAATAATTGACCATTAAATGGACAAAAGAATAAACATAAGAAGAACATGGAATGAAACGTTTCAATAAGAAATAAAAAGGAGAGTAATATAAAAGTAATAATTAATATTATCACCCAATCATTAGAAGCAAATGAAAGAATATACAAATAAGAACTTGAATACGAAGGAATTATCACGTCAATTAATTTGATTGTTATAGTGTATTGTCTTTGAAATGACTATTTCAGATGACTTATTGCAATGTCACGAATGAACGTCATTTCTACATAATTCATCATTGTTATTAATATGTCACTGACTACCATATTTCATTTTCATCAAAGAGAAGTTAGAGTCATGAGTAAAGTAGATTTTATTCATTTCGGATATTGTTGAATATGAAATAGTTGAAAAACCATGAACTAGTGCGAGATTACTGAAATGATTCACAGAGACATTGTGAGAAATAGCCGAATTAGGGTAGTTGAAAAAAGGAGTGAGTCAAGTTTAGATAATCAAGTAGAATAAGAGATGAAGAGAAACAGTTCAGAAAATGAGAAAAAAAAAAGAAAAAAAAGATAGAAACAAAGATAAACAAAGATAGAGAGATGGAGAAGGAGATTGAAATGACAAAATGGGAAGAGGAGAAAGAAGAGGAGAAAAACCTCACACGGTCAATTTATGTCAATATGGAACAAAGCACAAAACAACATGTTAAAAAGAATTATGCACCAAGTAGAGGATATGGGAAAATAGGGATAATTATAAAGATTTGTATTGAAGAAACAACAAGAATTAGTTTTATTTACTTTTTACTTATTAGTATTATTGAAGGAGTAATAGACAAAGAGAAAGAAGGAACAACACTTGCACCACTCATTGTTTTAATTACAGTGACATGTATAAAAGAATGGATTGAAGAATATGGAAGAATTAAAAAGGAAGAAGAAGAAATTAAAGAAAAAGTGGTAATAATAAAAGGAGAAAGCCGAAGAAGAATAAGAATCAAAGACATTAAAGAAGGGGATATGATTGAATTAGATGAGAATGAAACAGTTCCATGTGATTGTATTATTCTTCAAGGGAAAGTAAGTATTGAAACAACAGAAACTAATGGAAGAAATGAATTAGAAAAGAAAGAAGGGATTAAAATAATACAAAGAATGACTGAAGAAGAAATGAGAAAAGAAGAAATGAGTTTTTATATTGAAGAACCGAAAGAAAAAGAAGAAGAATTTGAAGGGAAAGTTCATATAGGAAAAGAAGAAGAAAAAGTTGGAATAAAAAACTTTATAAGGAAAGGTAGTATTATAAGAAGTGAAGGAAGGATTATTGTTTTAGCATGTTATATTGGGAAAGAAACAAAATCAGTGATGAGAAAAGAAAAAAGAAGAAAGAAACGAAGTTATATTGATAATATGAAAGAATATTATATAATGATAATGATAATTATTTGTCTTATTATGGGAATTATTTCAAGTGAGTTATATAAAAGATGGGGTGAAGAAAAAGGAGGATGGTATATTAATTATGCAACAAAAACAAGATGGAGAATATTTTTAGAAAGAATCTATGAATATAGTGGTATTATTCCCATATCAGTGATTATTACAATAGAAATAGCAAGAAGTCTTCAAAAAAGAAATATTGAAATAGACGAAGATATGAAAAACAAGAAAGGAAAAGTAAAAGGGAAAAATTCAGGATTAAATGAAGAACTTGGAAGAGTAAGTCATATTCTAACTGATAAAACAGGGACATTAACAAGTAAATATTTTGTATTTACAAAATGTTCAATAGGAGGAAAAATATATGGGAAAAAAGAATATGAAGAAAGTGAAGAAGAAGAAGAACTTGGATTAATTGAAAGAAAAGAAAGAAAAGAAGAAGAAATTAACATAGTAGAAATAGACACAAAAGAGATTATAGAAGACTATCAAAGAAAAGGAAAACAAGGAAAAATTATAGAAGAATTTTTTAAAGCATTAATAATATGTCAAACAGTAGAAGTTAAACAAGACGACGAAGAAATTGAATATTTTAGTGAAACAAAAGAAGAGTTAGCAATAGTTGCAGGAAGTAAAGAATGTGGGTTTGAACTAATTGAAAGTAGTGAAGAAAGTATTTCGATTAACATTAAAGAGAAACAAATTGGGTATAGAATATTAAAGAGATATGAAGGAGAAGAAGGGAAGAAAAGTGTAATAGTGTATGATGGGAAAGAGGTTAGTTTATATTGTAAAGGAAGAGAAAAAAGTATGAGTGAACGACTCAAAATGAAAGCTATTAATGGGAAGATATTAAAACAAAATGAAGAATTTAATGAAGAAGGATATTTAACGATGATTATAGGAATGAAAAAGATGAGAGTAGAAGAATATATTGAATGGGTAGAAAAAGGAGAAAAAGAGGAAGAAATAGAAAAAGATTTAATGTTAATTGGCGTTACATGTGTTGAAGAAGAATTAGAGAAAGGAGTAAAAGAAAGTATTAAAAAATTTCAAGAAGCAGGAATTAAAGTATGGATGGTTACAGGAGATAAAAGAGAAAGAGCAATAAATGTTGGGAAGTCTAGTGGAATAATCAATAAAGAAAGAATAACAACTAATATTAAAATAAGAAATGAAGAAGAAAGTGAAAAACAAATAGAAAAAGAATATCAAATAAGAAAAAGAAATAAAAAAGAAAGAGGAAATAATTTGATTATTGATGGAGAATCAATAGAATATTGTTTAAAAGAAAAGAATAAAAAGAAGATTCAAAAAATAATAGAATATAGTGAAAATGCTATATTTTGTGAATGTACAAGAAAACAAAAAGGAGAAATAGTCAAAATAATTCAAGAAGGAGAAAATAACAGTGTATTAGCTGTTGGAGATTCAATAAATGATATAGATATGATTAATAAAGCAAATATTGGAGTTGGAATAATAAAAGACAAAGAAGAAGAAACAGAAGCAACAAAAATAGCGGATTATTCAATACCAGAATTTAGATTTTTAGTTAAATTAATATTAGTTCATGGAAGATATTGTTATAGACAAATAGGAATTACATTATTTTATTTAATATATAAAAATGTTATTCTTCTAATGTGTGAATTTATATATAATATGTTTTGTGGAAATTCAAGAATAACAATAATTCCAAAAAGTGTTAAAATAGAATATAATAGTTTATTTACATCATTACCAATATTAATATTTTCAATTTTTGATAGAGATGTTCCACCATATATAATTTATAAATATCCAAAATTATATAAAAATAAAGATTATATTTCATCTATTTCATTTTGTTGGTGGTTACTTAATGGAATTTTATCATCAATTACTATATTTTTTATATCTTATGTAGTAATGTATAATGAATCAATATTGATTGATGGTAAAGTTGTTAATTATGATGGATTTACTTTTACTATTTTTGTATCTATCTTTATTGTTGTTACTTTAAAAGTATTTTTTATTACAAAACGGTATACTGTTCTTAATTTTATTGGTTTAGGCTTTTCTATTATTTTATTTATTGGATTATTATTACTTCAACAAGAATTTCCATTTTTTGATAATTGGGTTTGGTATAGAGTCTTTATCCAAATGCTTCAAACACCTGTTTTCTATGCTTTAGTATTACTCATTCCTTTAATTTTATTCTCAAAAGACTTTCTTTGGAGACATCTTAAAAGAAAATTTATCCCTTCACCTAATCATATTACTGAAGAAATCGCTTATAAAAATATGTCTAAGACTTATAATACAATAAAGTCTCTTCATGAACGTGATCTTTTCTTTCAAACATCATGGCATCTTCCTCAAAATCAACATGATTATCTTGACTTTTCTGACTCTGAATCAGATTCCGTTGACCTTGATCATCAAAATGAACTTGAATTAACAAAATACTAATGTATAAATTTCTCTTCTTTTGACTTATTCATTTGATGTTCTTATTTTCTTATTTTGCATTTTAAAATAACACATTTATTTCAAAAATATAGATTTGAATTTGACTTGGCTCAGTTTTATATTAGGGAAAGTGGAAAAGAGTGAATGTGAAGTAACATATGTGAATAATGAAGACATTCTTATGACATTTAACTGTTATACTTTCTCTAATTTTTTCTTTATTTCTTTCTTTCCCTTTTGATGTTATTTGTATATTGTGTATATTCTTTTTCATTACTCAAATAATTATCAATTCCTTATAACCATTATATATTTACTTCATTTCAATTTTACTATGATTTCTTGTATTATACACTGTTTTGCAATCACATTGTTTGCATTTAATTATTTCAGACTCATGAATATGAATATACTTTTATATATGTGGAAATGTAGACAAATTCTATATGACAAAGAAATATATTCCTAATTTGTACTAAATTAAATGGCATCAATACCATCCATTACATCTTGTCATTACAAATTATATTAGTGTTAGTGTTATTTGTTCATGTTTATTGTGTTTTGTTGTGTAAATGATTTGATTGGTTATTATCATTTTCATTCAATGATAGTTTATCAACAACAAATGATAAATTAGATGAATGTAAATACAACATATTTTAAAATCATGGTTTTGAAACATTAATTAGTGAAACTAAGTATATGATGACATAAAGGAATGAATCAAATAAAAAGTTATTAAAATGATTGAAAAAATATTTGTGGTAGTTCATTTGTTGAATATCATTATCTAATAATGATAATACTGTCATTTCATTCATCATTCAAAACCAACAAATGTGGTATATTGTAAAATGAAAATAACATATAATTAATATATAAATATTTGATGTAAATAAAAATAATAAGAATTGAAGAATATTGAATGATGAAATAAAAGAAATGATAATGAATGAAACAATGTTAATAATAACAATAAATTTGTTAGATAATGTTTGAAATATAATTTAATAATAAATAATGAAATAAACAGAAATATAATAGAATAAAAATACAATGAATATAAAGAAGAAGTGACTACGAGTTAAAAATAACAAGTAAAACGAATATAGCAGAAATAACATTGAAGAAAGAAGAAATGACAATAAATATATTTCTTTTCTTTCTTATTATTTATTAAAATAACAAATTGTCTGTTACTTTTTCAAATGAACTAAAATACAACAACTAAATAAAAAATAAATCAAATATGAATGATTGAATTTCAATATTTGTCATAGTAGAATATATCAATTATTTGAAATTGATAAATTAAAGTTGGTTGTTTATAGTTTAGTATTGTTTTATTGTATTTATTCATTGTTTAATATTTCATTTATATTCTTTCTTCTTAATGTGAATTATTCTTATTGAACTGTAATGAAAATGTTTTAGAAGTTAATTGATATTATAGCCATTTTATATTTCTCTAAAATTATTTAAATGGAGAGTTGCTGTACTAAACTTGTCTTTCATCCTATCTTCTTTTATTAAATTTTTACATTTTTTTAACTATCACTTTTGTTAATTATATTTTTTTTAAAAGATGTAATTAGAGTGTTTTACAATCTTTTTTTAATTCCACTCATATAACTGTATTTGATTTTCATATTTATTTAAACCAGTAGATTCTACCTTTTTCACATTATTGTTAGTTTTCTATTTTTAGTTATGCAATGACAAAACTTATTGGTTAATTGATTAGACTTGCATGAATCAATACTATGTCTCTATCATTCTATTAAATACATCAAATTCTCAACTTTTGTTTCTAAGGAATTAGATATTATTTTATACTTTTTGTAAGATATTAACAGTAAAAAGAAATGGTTAATTCATTGATTAGCTATTCTACTTCAAAGAGTATCTTATTTTAAAAATAAATGTTGTTATGTTAGAAAAAAATATTAAATAGTAGTTTAATAAAATTCGGTTGAATTGGGACTGTTATTTATTTTCATTAAATCGGTTTATTCTAATTTCTAATTCAATACAAAATTATTCCTATTAAAATAAATTGACGTAATTCTATCTTTACCAGAAATACTTTTTGGCTTACAACCTCAACACAGTTTGATCAACTTATAGATTACGTTGATTTTCTATAAGACTTTTAAACTAACCTTTTCCAAACCAATTAAAACTTACATATTTTCAAAAATCCTTTTAAAAGAAATAAATATATCTTCTACTAGCACAAAAAACAACCACCTTTACCTTTTTTTTTATTTTTTCTTTTTTGATCCTTTCTTTTGTCTTTACTTTTACCACCTATTTTCATGCTTGGTAAATCCTTTTTTTCAAAAAGACTCATTACCTGACTATACTTAGTCAGTATTTGTGTAAATGATTTGTTTACTGATGAAATATCATGACAGTCTAATTGGATTAACATTCCATTATGTTCATTAATGAATTGTTTAACTTCAGTTAAATCATATGTCTTTGCCAAATCAGTTTTAAGGATTAAACAAATTTTAAGTCCTTCAGCTTTTTCTTCTATTGACTGTTGAAGTAACATGATAGCATATTTGATACTTGATTGGTCTGAGGCAGACCCAGCAGCAATATGAATTTTTCCATCCAAAAAAGGAGGAAAATAAGTTTTATTTCCATCAATCAATTCATGTCCTGAAAAATCAATTATATCTCCATGAAACCGAATGTCATTAATTGTCCTTTCATATTCGTAGTATGTTTTGATATCAGTGGAGATATAATCTTCATAAAAGATTCCTTCTTTAATTACTCTAACAAAAGTAGTTTTTCCTACGTCAGGTTCACCAACAACACAAATATTAACTGCAAGGTCTATACTCATTAACTCAGGTTTTTAAAATATAACTAAAAAGTAATCAAAGATTAAATTTTGTGAATGTTTTTCTTTTTTATATAAATTATACTCCACACAAAAATTTAAAAAGACATCAATTTTTACAATGGGGGTCTTTCATTGCTATGATTACTGGGTGTTTGTCATTAAGGAGATCAGGAATATCAGCTAATGATAAACACGGTAATAAAAAATTTTCTTTGTATGTCATAACCATTTCGTCTTTTGGTAAATCATATTTTGCTTCGCAAAACTTGATTAGATTACTAATAGTTTCACCTGTCGAAGATTCGTGATTGATTTTTTCACCAAAGTACAAATCAATTTCAACCGTGATTTTTTCTTCATGGACATTGTTATGAAACTCTTCACTGAATGATAAATGAGCAAATTTTTTGGGGTCATTACTTATTTCTGTTTTTTTTAGAGACAATGTTGGAATCATTGATAATCGTTTTGCTCGAGAAATTGACGTTCTTCCATCCTTTGACATCTTACTTCTTTAATTTACTTGAAATTTAAACAGAGTTTGTTTTTTTTTGAAGTTATTCTAATAATTTTTAATTATAATTATATTATTAATTTTTTTATTAAAAATTTCTCTTCAAAAAAAAAAAAAAAAAGAAATATTGATGATATTAATAACAAAAATTTTTAATGAGAGAGCAAAACAACCAAAAAAATAAATATAAAAACTTCAAAGTCATCATTTATTGATTATTAAAAAAAGAATGACAAGATATATTAAACGGATCTTAAGTTCTTGTGATGAGCATTCAAGATCACCACATCCAATAGAAGGAGGAACATGTGGGTTATATAATTTAGGAAATACTTGTTATTTGAATAGTCCATTACAATGTTTAGCTCATTGTGATATTATACAGTCTTTTGCATATCAATTTCCAACACCATTTGTAAAGAGTTTAAAACCGGGAGATAAAACCTTATATGACAATAATGTTTGTTTTAAATTTATTTAAATGAGAATAAATAAACTAATAGACAAAGATTGCTTTAGCCTTTTTTTCAGTTATAAAAGCATTATGGTCAAATGACTATGTTGTTGTAACCCCCAAAGCATTAAAAGATTTAATTAGTGACAAATACGAACAGTTTAGAGGACATAACCAACAAGACGCACAAGAATTTACATTAGTATTGCTAGAAGAATTAAATATGGATTTATTGAGAAATAACACAAATGAAATAATGGTTGGAACACCAACACGTATTAAATTAGAAAAAACACCATCTGAATTTGCTGATTGTATTTGGAATAAATATCTTCAAGAAAACAATTCAATTATTACTCATACATTTAGTGGACAACAACAACAAAAAATTACATGTTGTGAATGTGGATATTCAAGTGAATCATTTGATCCATTTAATTGTATTTCATTAACAATACCATCTATAGGAAGACAACGAGGGTTTGTACCATTAATTATCGTTTGTAAGCAAGGGAAACCTATTCTATGTAAAGTACTTGTTAGTGTTTCAGTGGATATAAATGAAATTAAAAATCAAATACCCAAAGCAATTGGAAATCAAGAAATTAATATTTGTATAGATCAATTAGCATTTTATGTATTACAAAAAAATGGAAAAGGAAAAAGGAGATTAATAAATGAAGGGAAATTAAGTTTGATTAATTATGATAAGATTGTTGGGTATGAAATTGATTCAAGTAAAGAAATTAAAGTTATTATCTTTATTAGAGTTATAAAAAATGAAAACGTTGTTGTTCTTCATAATATTCCATTTCTTATTTGTATTAAACAAAATTGTACAATTAAAGAATTAAAAAGAAAAATTGAAAAACGAATGGAATGGATGAAAATGGAGAATAATAGAATTTGTATTGTTGATGAAGAAGGAAAACAATGTAAACTTTGTGGAGAACGTATTGGATGTACTGGATGTAGTTTAAAAGAAGATATGAAATTAGAAGAGTTAATAACAAAAACAAAAGAGTTATATGTTAGTTATGATTGTGAAGAAAATGATATTATTGATGAACAAATCATTTGTGAAAGTTATAAAATTACAAATAATCAAAGATTACAAACTACTGCAGTAAGTATATTTGCATGTTTAACTTTATTTACTCATGGTGATTCATTTGAAACTATTGATTGGTTTTGTGACTCTTGTAAGAAAAATGTTAAAGCAGAAGTTGATGTTACAATTTGGCGTCCACCTCAAGTTCTTATTTTTCAATTAAAAAGATTTGAATTTACAGAGAAATATGAACAAATTAAAACTTATGAACGTGTTGTATTTCCTCCTTTTAAATTTGACCTTAAAGAATATGTTTCAAATACAAGTTTTAAAGAACCAATTCTTTATGATTTATTTGGTATTGTTGTTTGTTATTATCATTCTGTTCATTCTTTTCTATTATTCTATAAAATAATCTTATTCACATCATAGAATCATCAAGGAAAAATAGATAAAGGACATTATTACGCTGACTGTAAAGTTGGTACTGATTGGTATAGATTTGATGATGAAAAAGTAACTAAATTAGAAGAGGTACCAACTGGTTCTGATGATGCTTATGTATTGTATTATCGTCTCATTGAATAATTCTTTATTATTATTATTTTCTATTATTTATGAAAAAAAGATGTTTCAAATATTGAATATAAAGAAGTTTTTATATACAAATGAATTTAATACTATTTAAATTTATTTTAGAATTAATTTAATATTAAGACTTTATTAAAATCATTATTTACTAATCTTTAAATATTCTTCTTTTTATGTGTAGCTTCATTTATTCTATTCAAAGTAGTGAATATTCAATAGTCTTAATACAACTAATGACAATTCAATTTTTTTAAATAAAAATCTTAAAGGATATTTCAAAATACTATTTTTTTCTACAATTAAAAAATTATTTTTCAATAAATAACATTATATTATTAAAACAGAATCAATTTTCATATTACTTTATATATTGAAGAATCATTTGTTGTTTGTTTATTATAATTCTTGAAAAAATCAAATAATGTATTAAATATAAATGAAATTAAAATATATTATTTTCTCATTAAATTAATAATAAATTAATGAAACTATTATTCTACTAAATTTATTTAAAAATTTGAATTATAAATGTGGTATAATAATATAATAAAAGACTAAAATATAATTTTCTTTGTAGAGTCAAAAAGAAAATTTATTTAAGGTAAGTATAAATAACTTATATGTCGTTTTATATGTTATTACTCTAACAAAATTTAAAATGAGTAAAGTCTGTCTTTTAATAAAGTCATTGCTTTATGATAATATAAACACAATACAATGAATAACTTCTATAAAAAAGTTACTAATAATAAAAAATAAACGTTAAAAAAAATATAAGAATAACAATTAAAATAACTTTATTTTAACACTTAATAAAATCTATCCACCATTTCTTCAAAATAAACAACACCCCTTCTCTTTTTTAGGTTTTTCTATTGTCCAGATTTCTTCTTCTGTAGAATATTTATGTCTAAGTACATTTCTTGTTATTATGTCAAAGATTTGATTAATGTTTTCATTTGTTTTAGCACTGCATTCAAGAAATGGACATTTGACACTATCTGCATATTCTATACCGTCTTCTTTCGTTACCTGTCTTTCATTTTCTAAGTCACATTTATTTCCAACTATAATAATTGGAATTACTTCATTCTCATCTTTGTCTTTAACTCGATAAATTTCTTTATAAATTCCTTTCATTTCTTCAAATGATTCTTTTGATGTAATAGAATATATTATTATAAATCCATCTCTCTGTTCTTATATTGAACGCTCTCCATGAATCATAACTAGTTGTGTCTACAATGTCAAATATTTGTAATTTTATTGTCTCATCTTCTATCTGAAGTTCTTTTGTAAAAGTATCATCTAAAGTGGGTTCATATCTTTCAACAAATTTGTCTAAGACAAATCTAAGTATAATAGATGATCTACCTACTTCAAAATAACTTCCAAAAACAACCAGTTTACAGGTTTGTTGGTTCAAGGACATTCAAAGTTTCTTTAATAATTAATTTTTTAGTATTTTAATTTTAAAAAAAAGATGAAGTATAAAACGAATATTTATGTTATTGACTTCACTTAATCAAAAAAAAAAAAGAAGTTCAAATATTCTGCAATAATTAATGAAACATTTCACGTTTTATTTTCTTCCTTTTCTTGTCAATAAAATATAAATGAAAAAGTAAACGAAAAAGAAAATTCATTTCATATTCAAGAAGTGACTCTCAGCTTCTTTCTTTTTATCTCTTATAAATAACACTAACATTATGATACCTAAAATGATTAATGCAATAGTCATACTAATAGCAATCCAGAACATTAAATTTAAGTCTAAGAAATACAATTCTATTGACCATTTTGATGATTTTAGTGGTGGATGTGGAATAACTACTAATTGAGAATTTGGAATAATGGATTGGAATTGTTGATGAATGACAGACACGTTCATATTACTTCCAAATTCTACAACTTGAATATAATTTGAAATTCTTCCTAATCCAATATGAGAATAAGGGAATTGAATTGATCCATGTGTTGTTTGTGAAATTTGAACAGACGCTAATCCAACATTATTACCATCAGTATTTGTTAATGCTAATTTGAACATTCCACCAAAATAATTGGATCCATATGGTTTTGGAGAGATTGTTTGATACCCACTCCCACAGCTTGAAACACAAACTCCATTTAATCCTACAATTTTAACAAATAATGCATCTGGTTTTAAATTATTACTAATTGCCTTTACTTTTCTTATAGACGTTCCATTACTTTCATCTTTAATATTAAAGAATAAATCCAACATACCTTTATTATCTCCATCAAAGAAAACACCTGACATAGCACCTAAACTAGTTTGTTTAATTGTTTCTTTTTCTGATTCTTCTTCAGTTATAGTTTTTCCATTGTCATTCTTTAGAAGCATCATATAATGAGTTTTAGTAGTGTTTTGAACTAATACCAATAAATCTGGATATGAATCAATGTTATAATCTCCCATTGAAATAAAACTTAATCCATTTTCGATAACTAATTCAATTCCATTTGGTAGAATATACTCAATAGAATTTCCATCTTCAAATTGATAGTCTTCATCAGCAACACACATTTCATTCTGTGACCTGCATGATGAATCAGATTTTACAAAAGACTTGCATACAGTTTTTTGTTTATTGTATTGGATATGAATTATATTTTTCATTGACCAAAGTAAATCAATATTTCCATCTCTGTCAAAGTCATTGACTAAAATATTGTCAATAGTGCCATTTATTTTAACAGTTCTACTTAATGAATAATTCAATACTTTATAATCTCCTGAGTCTTTAGTAGTTTGTGAAGTATAAATTTGAATTTCATGGTTTCCTTTATTGTTAACAACAAACAATAAATCAGAACGACAATCCCCATTAATGTCTGCCATAGTAATTGGGAATGTAGCATCATATGTTGGGAATATATATTCATGACTTTCTTTAAAGCTTTTGTCTCCTTTATTCAGCCAAACACTGGTGGTTTTTTTAGAATTTAAACTAATAAGATCAATGTAATTATCTCCATTAACATCAAAAGCAGTAGCTTCTCCATATAATGAAATTGGTTGAGCACATACCAACTTGTCATTAACATGATAACAAAGATATGTTGGGTATATATTATTCTTGAACGTTTGAACAACAAGTGATGTTTCTCCATTAAACAAAAAATCACCAGCAATGACATTTATAATAGTCTCATTAAATGTCAATAATGTTTTAAATTCTTCATATTTAATTGTTTTACCAGAATTATTTTCTTTCATTAACTTAATTGATTTCTTATCTGAGCTGAGTACAATAATTTCTATTCTATACAATTATTACTTCTTATTACTTTTCTTTATTCAGGATTATATCCTGTTTATGTAAAAGAGGTTATTTAACTCAAGCTCTTTTTAATTCAAATCAACAAACTGTCTATCATCATCATAATCTGCAAATCCAACTATTTCTCCTTCAAATGACCAGTCATTTTCAGTGCAAAAATTCGCTTTACAACTACTTTTCTTTTGGAAAGGTGTCCAAACACTTGCCAAACAACAACCTAAAAAGAAAAGAAAGATTATTTTCATGTTATTCTTCAAGACTTTCGATTATGTTTTTTCAAGATTTCTAAATTATTAGATTATGAAAAGACAATCTGACTTAAACAATACAATAGTGAATCTAAAAGACAATTTGTTTAATACCTTACCTAGCTGAGCAATGCCAACAAACAGCTACATGAAATTATATATCAGTTCTTTTTCTTCTAAATAATAACACATTCGGTTCAGGTTTAAAAATATCATAATGAACCCATCCAACACTTTGTTGTATTCCTAGTTTCCTCCACTCATCCTCAGTCATTAAATGGTCTTTTATAAGTTTTGCTGCCATTTCATCAGGAAGAATTACATGTCTATTAAATAAGTTTATTCATTGTGTTATGTATAAAAAAAGGCAAACCTATACTCGTATTGATCATCCTTATATCTATCAGAGTAGTATGGATCTTTTGACATGATAAGAATGAATCAAAAAATAAAGAGATTTTCTAAATGAATGGTTCTGACGTTGTTCCACGTTTTTTTTTCTTCAGTTTCATTTGATTTTCTTATTTTAATCATTATTATCACAATGACTGCTATTCAAATGTATAACAAAATCATCCCTTGTGGTAATTCTGTTGAATTTCAGGGTATTGAAGATGGAGTGTCTCTCTTTATTAAAAACGTTTGGTGAAATGATTAGATAAGTGAAAGAAGAATTAAACACGTAGATTGCATTATTCCCAACAAAAGAAGGTGATGGTTATGCTCAGTTATACATTTATGAAAATGAACAGAAAATAATGTTATACCGTTTGGACGAACAAACCATTCCAAATCAAGTTTGCACAATGACACTGATTGAAAAAGGAAAATCAAAAGAATTGTTTATTGAAGGAAAAGGTCAAGTTCAATTAACAGGGTATTTAGTTTAATTGAGTGGTTAGTGTCTGATTATGATGTTGCATAGTTCGTAGGATTGATAGAAATAGTCATATCAATAGAATTACTAAGCAAATCATCTTCCACTAGGTCAAATACCAAAACACACTCTTCTGTATGAGTGTCATTTTTGTGAAGTGGAATAAATAAAAAGAGTTTTTTAGGGTTATTATTGACAAAATAATAATTGTTTTACATAACATTTTAAATAAACAATAAAAAGTAATTCTTCAAATTGAGAATGAAAGAAATTAATAATTATTCTATATTTAGTACGTATTAATAAAGAGAAGTTAAAAGACAATTTAATATCAACGGTTAATTGAATAAATCAATTAACGAGAACAAATAAAATAAAAGGATTTAAAAGGATAATTGGTTAAGGATATTTCCAAATCTTAATTGTTAGAATTTTTATGAGTATGTTATATATTTTCTAAAGTATATAAGTTAGTTTTATAAATAGTTGTAATTTTTTTATTCAATAACCAATTAATGTTGATATTCTTTTAAATAATTAGAATTTATACACTCTGTAATTGGTACTAAACTCATAAAATCTGTATTTATTTATATGATAGAACCTACAAAAATCCATAATTAGTAATATAATAAATAAATATAAAATATAGAAAAACAGATACTTGTTTTCTTAATTTGATGTAAAAATGAGTAAAAGAAATTTTATAAAATACAAGATAAGTCTCTATAAATCTATCTAAAAAAATAATTAATTGTGTATTTTAATTTGAAATTATTATAATTTTCTAATAAAATACAGATATAAGTACTTGTTTTTTTTTCTATTAAAAAGAATTGTTTTGAGTATTAATTCTACAAGTAAATTAAAACGAAGTTATTCAATCTTTCATTTAAATCTATATTATTTAATTAATAAAATTATTGTTATTTTTAATATATTTTATTCAAATTCTTCCTTTTTTATTATACAAAAATTCTATTAGACAACACAATTATAGAAATTTTTATTTAAAAAAAAACACACACCAAATATAACTTTAATTAGAGCTTTCCCAATATAAATCCAAAGTGTAAAGTATTGCCTTCCAAATACATTCCTTCAATAGATGTTCCTTTCATAATATTATTTCTAAGGAATTGATAAACAACACTATTAATTCTTCCTAGTTTACTTTCTAAGTTTTCAATACTTTTTATATGCTCATCTTTTACTCTTACACAATTACATAAACTATCCATTAATTCTTGCTTAATATCTTTCATACAAACAGATACTTGAACAAATGCTTTTTTATTCATTGTAACTCTTCCAAAACAATCTCCACAACTTTCTAATGATGCATTAACTAACTTAACAGGCAATAACTCTCCTGTTAATTCAAACATTTGATGAAGATTTTTTCTCATATTTTTTTCACATTTTACTTCAAAACTTGACACATTAAACTCTGGGTTGGCGTTTCTTCCCATTGAAATAGAATTACTTTCAATACTTTTCAACCATTCACTATATTTTTCACATTCCTCCTTTAAATTTACACAAACTCTCCTTAAAATTGGCTTTTCACAGCCATGAATCATCCATCCCCAATCTGTTTCACAATCTGCAGTAATATCCATCCATACTGATGCATTTTGAGAAGATTCATATCTCGAGATTTCGTCTAATAAATCTATTTCATTTTGAGACAAGCCTTGGTCGTAACAAAAATCCAAAAAATTGAATATGATATCGGAAATACTTCCACTAATAACGAAGGTAAGTTCTCTTAAATCATGTTGAACATAAACTTCTACCGTTCTTTTTGTTTTGTTAGTATCTTTTAATACCATGTTAAACCAATTAAAGAAATAATCCCCACAATCTTTAAACCATTCAAATGAATTTGTAACTTCGTGTAATTTTTCTAACATTTCAATATAAGAACGAGGATAACAAGTTGATTCATCTAATTTTATTGAAGGGAACAAAGGAGTTTGAGGTCCTCCTCTTTGTCTTGGAGTTAAAGAAAAGTTATGAGTCTTACAGTATGAAGGTCTACCAGTTGACCAAGTAGTTGTTTTTTCCTTTGGAGAATAAACGATATCTGAAGCAACATTTGCAGGAATTTTGATTTGAGACACATTAATCTTATTAACTTTAACCGAAGGAACGAATTTTTTAAAAGATTGAATCATTTTAGTGATTGGTTCAATGATTTGACTTTGAAGGGTTCTGTCATTTGATACATAAATTAAAAACTCTCTTGGTCCCCTAAAAATTAAAACAAGTCTCTCTTAAGGTATCACACACAAATTATCTTAAAAAATGGTATTTAAACAAACTTATCATTGAAAGAGTTTAGTGAAACATAATACTTTTCTTTGGCAACATGAAGGTCTTCTCTTTCTTTAATTATTGTTGAAGGAGAAATTTGAATACAACCTTTTGCCTCTGTAGCGTTTTGAGAAGTGAAATAAAACAATTTGTTTGTAGTTAAAACAAACCATCTTCTTTTAATTGTTTTAACTTTTCCACCTTCTTTCCAACCCCAAAATACAGATATTTGTGGGTCAATAGAATTTGGTGTAATATGAAGAGCGTTTTCAGACATGTAATAATATTTAGAGTTCTGATATTTGAACGTGTGAAATCTAACTTCTTTATTTAGATTTTAAAAAATATACAACATATTCCTTTTTTAGCTTCACTCTTCTTTTATCAAATCTTTTATTAAAGAATTTTTCTTTTTTCCTTTTTTTTTTTGTTTTTTTTAATTCAAATGAAATAAAAAATGATAAAGAAACAATAATCATTAAACACGAATAACATGAGTAGAAAAGTATAACCAAAAAAATTACTTTTTGTTTTGAAAAACCATAAATCAGTAAATTTAATTATAAAAAATTAATTATCATTTTATTATTAATAAAAAATGTTAATAAACTATTTAATTGAATCAAAAAATAAAAGTCGAAGTGTAATATTTTTCTTTGTATTTTTCCAAATAAGAATTATTTTTTTTTTTTCGTTGAATTTTTCTTTTCTTTATCAAAATAAAAAAAAAAAACAATTATTATTTATTATTATAATACTTATTACTTTATTTTAAACCATTTTGTGTATTATTCTGTGGTTAAAGTAATTTTGATAATTAATATCATTTAGTTTTTTGTATGTAGTAAATAATTATATTGTTTATTATTATTTTTTATAAACTAATAAACATTTAAATAAATATTAAGTAATTAATAAATATACTTTTCATATTACTTTATTTTTTATTGTATTTCTATTAATGTTAATTGTAGTAAAAACGTTATTCTCAATCATATCTTAACACTATATCTAGTACCCTGTTTGCTTTAAGACTTATTTTTTTTATTAGTTTCTTCTCAAAAAAAATAATTGATTCTCTTTTTCTTTTTAACCTCCCTTTATATTAATTAGAAATATATAAAACTTATCTGTTTATTATTTCTTACATTTTTAATAGAAAGTGTTTTAGTCTTTATCTATATTTTTTTTTCTTTGTGTTATTTTCTTTCAATTAAACTTTTTTCTTAGATTTTACATATTATAATTTATAAAAATATCTTCTGGTATGTAAACTTCTTTAAGATAATTAAATCAAACAAAACTGAATAATGTTTATTCTGTCCTTTTTCTTTCTTCTATTGATTTCATCAAGTTTTGATGAGAAAAATCCATCAAAGGTTTGGTGTGTTGGGGAATCCTTGGTGAGGTTTTGTCATTTGTTCTTACATGTCTTAAGTGGTGATGTGATTTAATATCACGATTAACACATCCCTTATTAAATTTGAATAAGTCAATATTACCTTCATAAATTGGGCTGATTTCCTTTGGCATTTCACAATGTTTTAGTTCAAAGTTTCCTTCATTAATTCTTTTCATGGTTATTTTAAAGCAATCTGTATTAAATTCTTTGAAGTTGTTCATTTCAATGGCTTTTCTTTCTCAGATACTTGCTTAAATATTAATGGTGTTTCGTTTTATTATTTTTATCACAAGATATAACTTTCCACTAATCTGACTTTTCATTAAGAGAATATATATGTTTCTATAAAATAAGATAGAAAAGAACTGTTTTTTAAAGAAAAAAAAAAAAACAAAATTT